TTGTCTTTGCGCTTGTGCTTGCGCTTGTGCTTGCGCTTGTGCTTGCGTCGCTAGTGAAAACCAGGCTTTAAACTCCCAAGTCTGATAAGGGTCTTCACCCTCTCGTCTTAAGGCCTCTTCATATGAGCCCGGTTGAAGGAGCTGGCCCGGTTACCGAGATCTCCCCTCATTTCAAATTTCGATGTGGGCATATGAGAAGGTGGGCCAGCCCATATAAACACTCCGAAAAAAAAGGTTTTTTGATAAAATAGCTTCGCTTTCGCAACATAGCGGCCAAAATGGCATAATTTTGCCTTGAGTGCATTTCCACTTAAGAAGTATGCGATTATGCTTTGCGAGCCGTGTACAACACCGCCTGTGTGGCACAATTTTGATTTCATCCCGGTCGACCGGGCTGAAATTTCCCATGCGAACAGACAATAATACTCGTCTCGGTAACCGAGCCTGCCCGGTTACTGGGTTGATATGAAGAGGCCCTTAATCTTTTTCGGTTGCCTGTCTCGATCATAGACTGCTGAAACCGCTAGAAATCAAACTTGCCCATATAGTTTTGATGGACGCAGGAATTCCTTAGCATTCACTTCAATTACGTCCGTATACAAAAGCTTGTATCGCAAGATTACGATACATTTGAGAAACTGAGATAAAAATCTGTCACGAGAAGAATAATTGTGGGCTGATGACAGGTGCAAATAATATTCATAATAAATATTCTACAGACTGATGAATAATGCTTTGTTCTTTTTACTCGCTACTCTAATCTTGTTGTGACGGTGATTTCTTTTCTAAGATAACGCGTCCTGAAACCTTGTATGACAAAATATTACAGGAAAAGTATAACAATATTTTGTCCGGATAACTTGTTTCAGAGCTTGAGGCAAACTGCTTCTGTGTACTCTGTAATATGTTTTAAATGTTGATATTTGTGTCTACGCTAAAAAGACATATTTTGTCATACTCGATTCGTATCTGAAAACTGCCTTCCCATACGCTACAAAATGAATTATTATTCAATTTTTTATGAAACAACTTGTTCATCACTTGTCTTTGTGAAAACATATTGCTGCTTACTAATATTTCTCCAATGTTTACGCTTTCAGATGCTATATAATTTGCCCCTTTGTTTGGGTTTCCAGTCGCCAAGCAATTTGTTCTTTTTTATTCACGCAGTTAAATGCACACTTTATATGTTGCTTCGGAGCTGTACACTGCGCTCAAACAATTTTTTTTATAAGCCAACAAGGTGAGAACAAGACAAAGCCGTTTGATTACTAAAGAACATGTAAGAAAACAAATATTTGAACATCTGGATTTCACAAATCAAGATATTTTCATGTCAAAATCATAACACTGTAATACCGTCCAAAAATTTGCATGTTAATTCGGAATTTCGTGGGTGTAAATTGTCACTGTCAGTCATCAACAAGAGGCTTTGAAGAAGATCTAGATTGCGTGCGGCTTACTGATTTTAAACAAAGGCAATTTGGTAGGTATATTTAACTGAATTTTCAGGCCAATCTCTGTCGTAGACTCTTAGGATAATCTCTTTGGACGTGCGTCAGATATCTTTTTACTTTCGCAAGAGTGAAATATCAAATCCAAATGACAGGAATTAGTGGTTTTTGTGATCATACATTCAAACGATTGTATCGTCTAATGCGGATAAATAAATGCTAAAATGTCGCCCTCGTAAATTTTCAAACTAACGAGTCCGAATTGATAATTATTTGCCAATCACCTGCAACGATATATTAAGCCTTTAAAAGATGGCGGCCGAGCTATGGGACAAAAGGCAAACATCAGGAAAAACAGAGCTGAATGTCTTGCTTCGGTGACAAAAAGCTTCCAAATTGCACCCTAGCGCAAAAAAATTAGAGTGCTCGAAAAATACAGGTGTTGTTGAATTTACACATAAGAACACTCGAAAATCACACTTCTCCACTTAAATTATGTATGAAGTCCTTTCGATAACGACTTAACTTTCATTATTTAGAAAGAATTAAAGTTTTGAAGACGACCTTTTAAAAACAACTCAAATCTGGAATAAAGACATCCTGACGTTCCTCTGTGTCTTTTCTTCGCAACTCTTCGCTTCCCTGAAGTCATTCTTGAGGACAGCTGCATAAATTATTCATTCCACGTTCACAGCTTTGACATTAACTGAGAGAATTGACAGGCTGAACCGCCGATGTCGTCCACTCTTGTACCACGGGCACACATCGGGTTGTTTACTCTCGTGCGGTCTATTAAATGACTCATTTGCTCCGAGAAAATCAACTTACAAGGTCCTAACTGACACACTGCAGTGAGAACACCTCGCACAGGAATCGCACAACGTTATCAGAATGTGTTCCTCCCGCGATTCGTTAAACCGCGTTATCTACGACGACCGTGTCGTGATAAACGTGAGCGGTATGATATTCGAAACGCGGCAGACGACACTTTCACGTTTTCCAGACACGCTTCTGGGCGACGAGGAAAAACGCAGCAAGTTCTACGTGCCGGAATTTCACGAGTATTTCTTCAATCGAAATCGCGCGGCGTTCGAGGCAATTCTTTATTATTATCAATCCAGCGGACGACTCAAGCGTCCTGAAGAGGTACCAATGTGTATTTTCAAGGAAGAAGTCGAATTTTTTGAGCTGGGGGACGAGATTTTGAGCGACATTCGCCTAAAGGAAGGCTACCTGAGTATGGACGAGGAAGCTAAAGAGCATCCCGAAAATAAACTTCAACGCAAAATCTGGGAGCTTTTCGATCAACCAGACACTTCCACAGCCGCGTCGTGTTTAGCTGTCTTTTCTGTGGCCATCATTGTTTTAGCGATAACCGTTTCTATCGCAGAGACAGTCCCCTCCATAAAGCAAAAGAAAAACTACACCAACAATTTTACAAATGTCATGGCGGAACAATCATGGACGGAGGACACCTGGTTCACACTGGAATTATCTTTCAACGCTTGGTTTACGATTGAATATTTGGTACGGTTGTTCACTTCCCCTAACAAGTACCACTTTTTTGCGTCGCTTTTAAATTTCATAGACTTGATGGCCATCGCTCCGTTTTACATAACGCTGCTCCTGGACAAGTCCGAGACAAGCTCGGTTGCTGCGCTCCGAATTTTGCGGATTGTTCGCGTGTTCAGAATTTTCAAGTTGTCTCGCTATTCAAAAAGTCTTCAGATTATCGGTTATTGTGTGTTAGAGAGCTTTCGCGAGTTAGGTCTTCTCATCTTGTGCCTATTTTTAAGTGTTGTAGTTACTTCTAGTCTATTGTACTACATAGAAACGGGAAGCCCTGACACAGATTTTGTTAGTGTACCAGCGACGTTTTGGTTCTCACTGCAAACAATTACAACGATTGGTTATGGGGACATGGTACCGCACACCGCACTGGCAAAAGTAATGTCGGCCGCTTGTGCCATATTCGGCGCCTTGACACTTGCTCTACCCGTACTAACGTTCGTATCGAATTTTAATACCCTTTACTACAAAAACATCATGGAAAAAAACGAACGAAATATTCAAGACAACCGCGACACATCGGAAACAAGCGAACATTATTCGCCATTGAATTCAAGTGAAGAAACCCACTGAAACAGTAATCTTACTGCTAATGGAATTACGATAAAAATAAGGGACTTTTGCCATGTAATAGACAGAATTCATTAAAGAAATTCGATGAAAACCTACTTTATTAGTGTTAAGCCTATGTACATAAATTAAAAGTAATTTTACAACATATTCGATGTGTCTGCGACGCACACTCACTTTTTTCCCTCCTTTTCAATACACGCGTTTTCTTCTTTAAAAAAAGCTGAGATTGGCAAGCAAAAGACTTCAAATTACATTCTTTTGACCACCGCATGTGTAATTTCTTGGGGTTATATTGCTTTGAGAAGTGCAAATTAATTGCAATCCTATCGAACGCTAAACAATGTCTTGTTTTGCCAAAACTCAATGGGCTATCCACCCAGCTGACTGTTCGTCAAATTAATTTTGGTCTTTGGTTAATCCCGAGGGCTGAATAAGACGAAATTCTTTGTTTGAAATTGTGGCGCGACTTTCTTTCTATCATTTGACACGAAATTTTAATAAATACCAATTTCCTATAAATCTCTTTTCTTTACGTTCATTTGGAATGACGCGCGTGTGAAATAAAAGGTTGTGAGAGTAAATTATGTTGCCGTGAAAGAACCCATGGGGTGCAATGACCAAACTCAACGCAACGACTGGTGGAAATTAAAAAGCAAGCACGAACAGGTTGCTAATAAATACCAGCCACTGAACCCGCAAACGAAGTGGTAATAATGTTTTCCTTTCATTCCAGTCGTAGTGAGAAAAATGTATAATTGCTCATATATAAATAATGCCGGTCTTTTCTTTTTTTAAATAAAAATGAAAATTTTTCATTTGTAACCGTCCAGGTTTAAATTTGTTCTTGTTATAACAACAAAGAAGCTATTAATAACGATTTTCCTTTTTTCCCGCGAACTGAAAAAACATTTTTTTTTATACTGGAATGGTGAAAATCGGACACGGGAGAGATTTAACTGGGTTTTACCTTTAAGTAATTTGAACTCAGATTCTCTTTACTTAATTCTGCGAAACTGTTCATTATATCCGAGAGAGACTGGGTCATTTCATGAGGTAGTCGGAATGGAAACCTCTTGTATAATCTTGAAACCTCTTGTAGTCCTCTTTCATCTCCTGCAAGACGAGATTGTTTGTTGATCTCAGTGAGGTTTTGTCTGTAATTGCACAGAGCGGTTTTCATTTGAGTGTCGAAAAGTAATTGGTTTTCCATCACTGAATTACGCTACCCGATTGGCTTAAAAAAAAATCGCGCCACTTTTCATCCAATCAGAAGTAAAATCAAAACCAATCTATTAACATTTGTAAATGTAAACAAAGTGTGAAGACATTTCCACATGCAGTCTAGACAAAGCTATTCTATTTCTTTTGTTAAAAAAAGAAAAAGATTTTTATCAGTTGCAGCTTCGGGTCGCCGTGATTCAAACTTTGATATGTGTTCATAATGTAACCATTTGCAACCTCTGGGCTAGTCACTCTCACGTCCTAATTGATTTCTCTCATTTGTCCATTACTGTTCTACAAAATTAAACCATTTTTAAAGAAATTCCCAAGGACTATCTAACAAGCCTGTTGTTTAAGAAGACAACGAAGGTCCCTATATAGCGAGACGCGTCGTTGTTTTAGTCACAAGTTTTACCTGCTACAGTGGCAAACCACCTAACGTTATAAACCAAGCTAGTGGAACAACAAATCAACTACACAGAGGTCGCTTGCGGGGACGTAATAACTTGTTCTGTCTTTCTTGCTTTGAAAACAAATTTAATTTTCACGTAATTTTATTAGTAGAGGTGGTACAGTGAGATCAAATAAAGAAACGCAGCAAATCTCGGTTTGAGACAAGAGAGTTGCTTAGCACGCCAAGTAAGCAAACGACTATTTCACGAGGAAGAAAACTTTGCATGCTGTGTACGAAGGCACTTCGTAGGAAAATCTACAAATAAGAAAGACAGTCCTTAACCGTCATTCTCACATTTTAAGGCTTTCTTTTCATAAAATCAATCTATAGAGTTAAAAAAAAGTTTTCTCCTTCAGAGAATAAGCACGCGCTGTGAAATATCAAAACAGGAGAAAAACACGCAACCACTATTGATATTATAAACATTTTAAAAAGATAACGGCTCACAAACACTCCAATTTTGTTGTTGCCTGATGTAAACTACCCATTGTTAAACGTTAAATACGATTTCCTCGCAGCAAAAACACATTCAACTATTTGGTGATGAAGTCTGGAGGCATTACTTCTTAAGTGAAAAATTCTCTTTGACTAGCTTAATTGAATATTCCTTCAGCTTCGGGCAGTATGGAAGAGACTCGTTGATTATGTGAAATAAAATTAATTGCTAACCACACATCATGTAGGAAGACTTGACCTGAACCAATCTTTTCAAACAATGACAGGTAGGGGATAACGTTCTGTCAATAATAAGGCAACAAAATGCTGAAAGCAATTGAAAATTGCCTTGCGTGGAACTTTGATTAGCAAAGCGTACAATATATTTAGTAGGGCTCCTAAGGCTTTGTGGCTTAGCTGTTATAACGGTATTAAAATGGTAAATTTTTCACTCATATTAGAATCAGTTTCAGATCGCAAACAAACTATGTTCGTACCTAGAGCCAAACAATTCGTTTCTGAGGCCAAAGCAAGTCTGCCGCATACGAGACTCTTTAGTTCGTATCATTTCAATTCTCCGCGTGGGAACTGGCCTGCCCCGTGTAAATTTAGCGCGCGAAAAAGAAGGTCACGCGAGAAAAGCTTACAAAACGTCTTTTTTACCTTCGATTTCCAAGCCAACGAATACAAACACCTCTAGTCGCCCTTAAACTAATTTAGCGCTGGGAATCGGTTTTAATCACAGGCTATTCAATATATTTCCAACTCAGATGCAATGAGGGACAAAGAATTTCACACAGATTTCGAAAAGTTAAAAAAAACACAGCTAGTTCATAGCAAACCCAACAACAATGATTTGATTTTGTAGAACAGCACTTGATCATGATAAATAGAAGGAATCAATCGAGAAATGAAGAAGACCGAAGATGGCGGTCACGGAAAATTTTATTAACCATCAATAGCGTACGCTGAAAGAAACTTTGAAACGTAAAGTTTGCGTTTTGCAGTTTGGAACGAATTCCGCTGGACATTTGCAAAACAAAAATAATATTGCTGCAATTTCAAGACGGGTCTATGTAAAATCGCGTTCCATAATTTAAAGTTCATTAAGTTTTAATTGCCCTTCGAAATACTGAAAAACATCTTCTTGTTGGAACATAGAACTTAATAATAACTACAGTGGAACCCCGCCTTACGGTCATCCCGTTAATAAGGCTACCTCTTTATTACAGCAAAAACGTCTGTCGGTCATTTTCTTATTTAAAGAACCCATTTAATACGGCCAGATTTTTGTGGCCCGTTGGTGACCGGGTTAAGGGGTTTCCACTGTATTACTAGTAAAAAGGTCATAAATGAAGTTCTTTTTCCACAAATTGGAAAAAAAAACTCAGTTCAATAGAATGTTCTATTCACACCAGTGTAGTGTACTACAGCTACAAAAGATGCCTTGTTAAATTGCCTCATCATATATTTCTGAAAACTTAATTTTGCGGGGAAAAGTTCTTCACGTAGTTTGTGGGATATGAACACAAAACTCTCTCGCACCAACTTCCACAGACACTTACTTGAAACAAATTCTCTACTTTCTGTTTTGCGCCATTCTCGTCTTCCAACATTCTTGTTAAGTGATTTANAGAAATGAACATGACCGAGGATGGCGGTCACGTACGCTGAAAGAAACTTTGAAACGTAAAGTTTGCGTTTTGCAGTTTGGAACGAATTCCGCTGGACATTTGCAAAACAAAAATAATATTACTGCAATTTCAAAAAGGGTCTATGTAAAATCGCGTTCCATAATTTAAAGTTCATTAAGTTCTAATTGCCCTTCGAAATATTGAAAAACATCTTCTTGTTGGAACATAGAACTTAACAATAACTACAGTGGAACCCCGTCATACAGTCATCCCGTTAATAAGGCTACCTCTATTACAGCAAAAACGTCTGTCGGTCATTTTCTTATTTAAAGAACCCATTTAATACGGCCAGATTTTTGTGGCCCGTTGGTGACCGGGTTAAGGGGGTTCCACTGTATTACTAGTAAAAAGGTCATACATGAAGTTCTTTTTCCACAAATTGAAAAAAAAAAACTCAGTTTAATAGGATGTTCTATTCACACCAGTGTTGTGTACTACAGCTACAAAAGATGCCTTGTTAAACTGCCTCATCATATATTTCTGAAAACGTAATTTTGCGGGGAAAAATTCTTCACGTAGTTTGTGGGATATGAACACAAAACTCTCTCGCACCAACTTCCACAGTCACTCACTTGAAACAAATTCTCTACTTTCTGTTTTGCGCCATTCTCGTCTTCCAACATTCTTGTTAAGTGATTTATTCTGCAAAGAAATTCAAAATTAATAATTAAATGGACTCGCAGTTTAATACAACGAACACGTTTGAACTTAGGCACCGTCCACGCGACGCTGGAGAAACTTGAAAATGCAGCTTCATTTCTACGGTCAGGCCTGCCGGCCACACTAATCTATTTCGAAAACGCAGCTTTTTGAAAACACTCTTCAAACCATAGGAATTTGAAAACGCCGGCTTTGCGTTTTAGTGTGGACCGAAAACATTTTCTAAAAGGAGCTTTAAAAGAACGATGACGTCACGATGATCATGTGATTTCCCTGACAGAGATTTCTTCAAAGACAAATCCAAAATGGCCCGTGATTGTTGCGTTTTCAAATTTTTCCGGCGTAGTAAGGACGGAAAACTCTCGATGTTTTTTCAGAGTGAAAACACCGTTTTCAAATTTCCCCGGCATAGAGTGGACGTAGCCTTGAAGCATTTTCAGTGACCTATTCGCTACTAGATAACAACATGAACAACTTGTGAAAGCTGCCGGCGGCTGACTTTATTTTAGACTGTGAGGGCTAAA